TTAATCAGAATTGAAAGGGTTTTTTTTTGGCTTGTTTGGAATTTCGTGCAAAGCTACACGAATGCTATTTGCGCTTGCGATAATTTAGCAGTGATATAGTAGAGGGAAGTCAGCTAATCAACACCACCCACCGTCAACTTTTGGGCTACTCTTTTACCAACGAATAGTGGGATTGACTGTGACTTTATAGCGCTCCCGCGGCTGAAAGAGCAAGTATGTTCGGTGACGGGGATTTGAGCCTGCGACTCTCAGACTGCGAATCAAGCGCCTTAACCACCAGGCCCAGATAGGAACGAGAATCAGTTGTTTTGCAATATATGTTAACTTTGCAATGCAATAGTTTTTCAGGAAACGCTAAGCACAGTGGTTCCCAACCTGGGGTGCCGGCACCAATTCTTGGGGGTGAGAAGATAGGGTCCAGAAAAACAACTTTTTTTTTGTTCATTTGCCGTTGCCGTTTTTACTAAATAATTCGTCTAAATTCGGGAGCAGAATATCGATTACGATCTTCAATTAATTCACTATTGTGATTCTTTCTTCCTGTTTTAAAATTTGTTATTAAACATACGCCTACTATTTAAGTCTCATGATAATTTTTTTATTTTTAGAGATCCAGCATACTTGACTGACATATTTACTCACTTAAATGAACTAAATATTTCCCTCCAAGGAAGTAATAAAAACGTGGTTATTGCACATGAAAAAATTGCTTCCTTCAAAGCTAAAATTCCTTTGTGGTTGAGAAATATTGAGAAGGGAAATTTGGCTAGGTTTCCATTCGCTGGAAGAAGTTGTTGAAGAACACGAGTCACTACTTCCAGAAGTTGCCACAGCAATAGGCATTCACCTTGAACAGCTATTATATGCCTTTGATGGGTATTTCTCTGCAGGAAATTTGGAAGCCAGCGACCGCTGGATAAGGAACTCGTTTCTGTTTCAGTTAAGCCTGAAGTTATGCCTGACGAAGATCCTTTCAGGGAGGAAATAATTGACATGCAAAATGATCATGCTGCAAAAATGGAGTTCGAAGTGAAGACTTTGGAAAATTTTTGGGCATCACAAATAACAAGATTCCCAAGCACTTATTGTACTTGTTCCCTTCGCAACAACATATCTTAGCGAAATAGGGTTTTCGACTCTTCTTCATGTGAAAAGCAAGCTTCGAAATCGCCTCGATGCTCAGCACGACATGCGCATCGCTCTCAGCAAAAAGGAACCCCGTATTCCAGACATAATTGCGTAGAAACAAGAACAAATGTCACATTGATAGGATTTGATATGAGTTTTCGATACTATGTACATCTAATTTGTGTGAAATTAAGTTTTTCTGACTCAAATCAATCTCTCTCACACACACACACAAACACATACACACGTACACATATATATAATTTTTTCTGACTCATGTTAACGTGTTTTCTTTTCTGGCAAAATAAGTGTTTTTCTTCTTTTCGAAAATTTGTGTTAATAAAAAATACTCATTAATTAATACTTAATAATTTGACCTGAAAAAAATTCATTTTTTGCTTTTAACTCTGGGGTGCGGGATGGCATATCAAAATCTCAAGGGGTGCCAGCACTGAAAAAGGTTGGGAACCACTGGCTAAGCATATAGAAGTGGCAGGTTGTGAGTCGAGCTCCTTAACCACCAGGTGAACTGAAAGGAAGCATGTAGAGGATGTATTTAATACTTTCAATATTTATACATTGAGCAGGAAGAAATCAAGCTTTTTGAAGTTAAATCACATTTCTAGCTCAAGTGGAATTGATGGCAAAGTTTGAACTGAATGATCCTGTAATGAATGAACACGTTCGTGGGTTCATAAACAACAAAACAAGTTTTCATTATTTGAGCCTCGATGTGCAGAAAGAGCTAATATGAGTGCTCTCATTTAAAAAAAGGCATTAATATAATTATCATGATAAGAATTAAGGGTATTAAATACTATTCTATAAGGATTGGTTGTTTCACTGACGTCAGACATCAAGACGAACTGTTGGTAATTTTCAAAATTGATGAATATCTATAAAATGAAGGTAAATGTTGAAGAAAATTCTGTTTTCTTCCTTAACGTCGAGGAGACCACAGGTTATACTCTATCAGAAGTAATTCTTGAATAGCTTACAAAACAAGGAATATGCCTTTGGACAATAACCGAGGTCAGGAATATGATAAAGATTCAAAGGGACCAACACAAGAGTATCCAAATCAAGTTTTTTTTTCTGTTTAACAAAATGGCATCTTTCATTCCTTGTGGCTGTCATTCATTAAATCTTGTACTGTGTGATGATGCAAATTCTTTCATCTGGTCAAAACCTTTGTGGGATTTTCTTCAAAGAATGTATACTACAGTCTTATACAAATACACTTAGCGCTATAAAACTGAGAAATGCGTGTTATATTAAACATCTACACATGTAATTTGTATAATGAGGCAGGTTCTAAGGACATAATGGACGATTTATTTGAATATCAAACAATTTTATCAGACACCTGTAGAAAGATGTGTAATTCAGCATTGCACCTATCACAACAAACCCTTACCAAAACATATATAATGACAAAATATAATATCATTTTTTTATAAATAGCGTCTGTAACCTTATATCATTTCATATTAAACATTCAGTGCTTGGTTGGTTCAGTAAAAGGCGACGTGGCATGCTGTCGATGAGGTTATTGATGTAATCCTCCATAATTTCATCCCAACATGTCACTAGAAGGCCCTGCAACTCAGCTACAGTAGCTGGTTTAGGACCGTAGTTAGCAATTATCTGGCTCAGTTCTGCCCAACAGCATTCAAAATAATTTCAATCTGGAGACTTTACTGGCCGTGGCAATATTGTAATGTCCTTCTGGTCGAGATAATCCTGTACAGTACGTGCACTGTGGGCAGTGACATTGTCATCCTGGAACACAAAGTTATTGCAAAACCTTGCTCCAGCATAAGGCAGAAATATCGTCTCCATGCGATGCCTGTAGGAGGCGTCATTGACGTTTCTCTGGAGGATATGAAGAGCAGTTTTTCCACCATGAAAACATGTACTGCCCAAACATGTACTGCGCCACCTCTTGTTGTAAATACAGTCTTCCCTCATCTGTTCTTTAGGGAAACGACGAACACGAATCCTACTATCAGCTTTAACAAGCCGGAAACAAGACGCATTACAACAGTTTATGAAAATGGCATGCAAACAGCTGTTCTGTCACCAGCGGTGGAAGGGAAAATGTAATTCTAAGTCAATGTATCATAGAGGTGGAGTTTTATCATATAACACATCAATATTGAGATAGCACTCTGTGCAAACAGCCGTTGGAACAGCGCAAGACATGGGCCGCCTAAAGATGTTGTTCTCAGTAGATTCGCTAGAAAGTTATTTTGCTTGACCTCATCCCTGCTGACATCCGGCTAAGGAGCTTACTAGAGATGCGGGCCTATCACCCAGTAACGTTCATCGAGTGAAAGATGTAAATGTGACAGAGTTTTGCGAAATTTCTGGAAAGACATTGCATGTTGCAATGTCATTGTCAGGATGGAT